CGGGGCCGGCGGGGCCGGCAGCGCTGCCAGGTGCGCGGGAATGGTTGCATTTGCAGGGTACTTCCAACCCTCGTGCGATGCACGATCAATAATAGTCAAAGTGCTCAAGACGTGCGGGGAGTTTTGAGGCCGTTATTGATGCAAAACCCTCAGGGATTCTTCACTGACTTCGGGGCTTGCTGCCAGCGCTCGGGTCAGCCTGCTGGCCTCGAAATAAAAAAATGCTTCAGCTGTAGTGACCCAGTGCTCGCTCACTCACTGGCGACTTGCAGTGGGTAATATAAAGTAAATAGGACTTATTTGCATGTGTTCTCAGTGTACAATAGTTTTTCAGCAAATGTGATCATTTTGATCTTCCAATATGATAATTTCATATTTAAGACCTGACAACGCTGGCCATGGGGGGCAGGCGGCAGACCTTGTGGCCCCCAGCGACAGGCTGCACCGGCACGGCGGGAGGGAGAAGCAAAGGCCTGCTTGGTGCATGGTGACTCTTGGGGCCAGTGCCAGGCTAAGGCTGGGATGTGACATGCCCGGTTGCTTGGGTCAGCGTCTGTGTTATCAGACAGGCTTGGGGCCAGGAGCCGGTGTGGGCCATCCTAGCCTTAGAAACTGCAGTGGCACAGCTCGCACTTGCCTAGCAGGTCAGCCACAGGCCAGGCCATAGGCAGGGGCGGCCATGGGATCCAGTTCCTGCCCCCACAGCAATGTACATATCTTCTATTCAAACAGGTAGTGCCTAAAACCTGGAAGTCCTGGGCACCGGTGGAATGACGACCACAGGCTTTAGATCAGAAGAGCCAGACTTACTGCTGCTGTAACTTACTTCAGAGTTTGGGTTTCAGAGGTATTAAACCCAGGTCAGTCTCAGGTGTGTGCTGCTTCTTCCATGTCCTTCCTGGGAGGAGAATGGGAATTCTCTCACCCTCATCTCTTCCAGGAGAACCTACCTTACTGCTTTTTTAATAGACATTGATGCTGCACATGCTGTCTTACAGCAGCATCATGGGGAGCAGCAGCAGAATTGAGTGCATCTTCTTCAGTGAATTCCACCCAACGCTGGGACCTAAAATAACCTACCAGGTCAGCGATGCTGGTCCATTGGGGAACCTGGGTGTTCATTTACACTGTGCATGGAGAGCTCCAAGCAGGGCACTCCTCCTGTGGCTGACTCCCTCCATCTCCAGTGTGCTCCTGAGCCATTTGTATGTTTGATGGACTAAACTGAGATTCATTGTTACAATATAACTTCTAATGTTGTCTTCAAAAGTTCCTTTCCGGGGTCCTCAAGGACTGTCCCTTTTCCTTGCACTTAGTTTGCTGCTAGGTTTTGACTGGGTGCTCTACCCTCAGTGATGCATTGCTGCTTTGGCCATGCAGGTCCCAGAGGATTTCATATCCCGGGAGCTCTTTGATACGGTCCAGGTGTACATCATCACCAAACCTGAACTGCAGAACAAGCTCATCACAGTGTAAGTATAGCCCCCATTCACTCAAAGCAAGGGTCCAGCTTCCAGGCAAAGCTGAGCAAAGTTTAATTCTTTGTGTGTGTGTCTCCCCACCCCCGCTCAGAGGAGACTGACAGCAGTCGCTGCCTTAGGGGAGGGAAAACTGGGCACCTGCCCAGAGCCCTACATTTTAGGGGGCCCCAACGTTTTGTAACAGTTTTTTGGGGGGGTGAAGTTTGTGCAAGGAAGTTCTTTCTTCAACTTATTCATAAGTTTCATGGATAGGGCAGAGTGAAATTGAAAATGTCCAACTTGCTTATAGGTCATCAAAATTAAGCCTCTAAGGGGCCCCAAATGACTCTCTTGCCCAGGGCCCCAACAACTCTAAGGCCACCACTGCTGACAGATCCATCTATCTGACAGCTGTCTGGTGGCCTAGATGACATAAGTAGTGGCTCCTGGTCCCAGTGGACAAGAGTGTGTGTTGCAGAACCCACCATAGCTGGTGCTCATTGTAGGCCCCCTTGGTACAGTCTTGGAGAAAGTCTGAGGATGGACCAGACTGGACCATTGCTGCTGAACTATGACTCCACCTTCAAGTGAGGAAGCATGAAGCCTACGAGTTGGGAGAAGTTTGCTTTGCTACTACTTGGGCTGTAGCTCTGCTGTAGATAAGCAGAAGCTTTCTGTATCCATGTCTGTGATCCTTAACCAGTGCTAGAGGTGCAGTTGAGAGCTTTTAGCTTAGCAGTTTCAACAAGGATGGAGCTGCTTGAAGCTAGAGCTGCTGAACTCCCCAAGTGTCAGTGCTGACTGGAAAGCACAGGCCTTGGGGAATGCAACAAGAAAGCAAAGAACATAGGCCCTTCCTTGAGCGTTTGGGCTGGTTTACCTTTGGCCACATTTACTTGAGCACTTGACTGGGCTTCTCTTATTACCTATACAGTAATAGCAACGAGATGCCACAGTTGTTAATTTTAAGTAGGGGTTCAAAGGTAACCTCCACACAGGATTTCAGTGCATTTGAATTATATAGAAAGTTTGAAGCATCCTGTTAAGGTTATTTGGGACAAAGCCTGGCAAAGGTGCTATTTTTTAAAGGACTCGCTTTCAATTAGTTCATAAATCTGTGTAAACATCTCGGGAAAACAGATTCTCAGAATATATTGTTCTGCACTTGGATTAAGTGTTGTGAGTTTGGGGAGACGTCATTTTTCGTTTCATATAAAACCAACTGTAATTTTTGCTTAAAAAGTAAAATGGGATTAATTCTTCATGAAGCAGTTGGAACTGGTGCCCCCACGATTTCACAGTGATGGTTTGTGTGTCTCTTTCATTGTAATAGAACTGCTATGGAAAAGAAGCTGATTGGCTGCCCAGTTTGTATTGAGCACAAGAAGTACAGCCGGAATGCCTTGCTCTTCAACCTGGGCTTCGTTTGTGATGCTAGAGCTGAAACCTGTGCACTGGAGCCTATTGTAAAGAAACTGGCTGGCTATCTTACCACCTTAGAGGTCAGAGAGGTTTCCAGTGTATTATTCTATGTCCACTTTGTATAAAACCAGACTCAGTAATTTTGTGCTGTTTGCTCTAAAGTCAGGTCACAAAAGTCAGGTCATATGTATATAACTTAACTCTGCCCCTTAGGCATACATTATTGCCACACAATGTTTGACTTTTATCACAAGGCAACTTGGGTAATTCAACATTAGTAGTACATTTATATTATTATAGCTTATAAAAACAAATGTTATAAAGTTCGGGGGGTTGGACTAGATGACATCTGGAGGGTCCTTCCATCCCTTTATGGCTAAGTTAAGAGACAGTGAACACACTTGAGATAATATTTTCCAGTACTTTGTGCTAGGTACATTTGAAATTCAACATTAAAATCTCCATTTCCCTCTTACATCCTAAATTTCAAGATGGGAGTTGCTTAGAACTCCTTTTAACAAGTGTTCTACTAGGGATGTTTCCTTACAGGCACTGTAAGTGGTGGCAGTTGTATTCTGATCAAAATTCATTTCTGTGCTTAAACCTTGGAGCCCCAGGTGACAACCCCATAGTTAAAGTTGAATTCCATTTGATACCCAGCATGGGTGTTCAGCCTCTCTGTGGTGTATGTGAAATACATGTCCTCCTCAACTAAATGGCCAGAGAGAGTTTTCTTGAGGACTCACCACTAAATCTGTTAATTGGAGGTAAAACTAAGTCTGAAATTTAGCATATGTCCGTCTTTTTCTGTCAGGCATCTTAATAATTGAATAATGGATTTCTTGATTTTCCCCCCCCTAGAATTTACAGAAATCTCATGTATAGGTTATTTTGGAGGAAGTGAAGATTTTTCTAGTATTTCATTGTAAAGATAAAAACACCAGGGAGGCATCTTTATGACCTCTTTTTTCCTAACAGATCCAAGGTAGCTTTAGGGAGAGATACAAGGGTAATTGTCCACTGTTTCAAATTCTTACTGCCAATAAGCACTGTTGGGAGGAGGTAATGCTGACTCTCTTCTCTCCTAGCTGGAAAGTGGCTTTATCTCCAATGAAGAGAGTAAGCAAAAG